AGTTTGTTAGATTATGTATTGGTGGATAAAAGGTTGATGGGTAGGCTCCAGGATGTACATGTTTATAGAGGGGCAACTGATATATCGGATCATTATTTAGTTGTAGCTACAGTTACAGTAAGAGGTAGATGGGAAAAGAGGAAGGTGGCAACAACAAGTAAGAGGGAGGTGAAAGTGTATAAACTAAGGGAGGAGGAAGTTCGGGCGAGATATAAGCGACTATTGGCAGAAAGGTGGGCTAGTGCAAAGATGAGTAGTGGGGGGTTGAAGAGGGTTGGAATAGTTTTAAAAATGCAGTATTAGAATGTGGGGCAGAAGTTTGTGGTTATAGGAGGGTGGGGGCAGGAGGAAAGAGGAGTGATTGGTGGAATGATGAAGTAAAGGGTGTGATAAAAGAGAAAAAGGTAGCTTACGAGAGGTTTTTACAAAGCAGAAGTGTTACAAGAAGAGCAGAGTATATGGAGAGTAAAAGAAAGGTGAAGAGGGTGGTGAGAGAGTGCAAAAGGAGAGCAGATGAAAGAGTGGGAGAGGCACTGTCAAGAAATTTTAATGAAAATAAGAAAAACTTTTGGAGTGAGTTAAACAAGTTAAGAAAGCCTAGGGAAAGTATGGATTTGTCAGTTAAAAACAGAGTAGGGGAGTTAGTAGATGGGGAGAGGGAGGTATTAGGTAGATGGCGAGAATATTTTGAGGAACTTTTAAATGTTAAGGAAGAAAGGGAGGCGGTAATTTCATGCACTGGCCAGGGAGGTATACCATCTTTTAGGAGTGAAGAAGAGCAGAATGTAAGTGTGGTGGAGGTACGTGATGCATTACGTAGAATGAAAGGGGGTAAAGCAGCTGGAACTGATGGGATCATGACAGAAATGTTAAAAGCAGGGGGGGATATAGTGTTGGAGTTGTTGGTACTTTTGTTTAATAAATGTATGAAAGAGGGGAAGGTACCTAGGGATTGGCGGAGAGCATGTATAGTCCCTTTATATAAAGGGAAAGGGGACAAAAGAGATTGTAAAAATTATAGAGGAATAAGTTTACTGAGTATACCAGGAAAAGTATACGGTAGGGTTATAATTGAAAGAATTAGAGGTAAGACAGAATGTAGAATTGCGGACGAGCAAGGAGGCTTCAGAGTGGGTAGGGGATGTGTAGATCAAGTGTTTACATTGAAGCATATATGTGAACAGTATTTAGATAAAGGTAGGGAAGTTTTTATTGCATTTATGGATTTAGAAAAGGCATATGATAGAGTGGATAGAGGAGCAATGTGGCAGATGTTGCAAGTATATGGAATAGGTGGTAAGTTACTAAATGCTGTAAAGAGCTTTTATGAGGATAGTGAGGCTCAGGTTAGGGTGTGTAGAAGAGAGGGAGAATACTTCCCGGTAAAAGTAGGTCTTAGACAGGGATGTGTAATGTCACCATGGTTGTTTAATATATTTATAGATGGGGTTGTAAAAGAAGTAAATGCTAGGGTGTTCGGGAGAGGGGTGGGATTAAATTATGGGGAATCAAATTCAAAATGGGAATTGACACAGTTACTTTTTGCTGATGATACTGTGCTTATGGGAGATTCTAAAGAAAAATTGCAAAGGTTAGTGGATGAGTTTGAGAATGTGTGTAAAGGTAGAAAGTTGAAAGTGAACATAGAAAAGAGTAAGGTGATGAGGGTATCAAATGATTTAGATAAAGAAAAATTGGATATCAAATTGGGGAGGAGGAGTATGGAAGAAGTGAATGTTTCCAGATACTTGGGAGTTGACGTGTCGGCGGATGGATTTATGAAGGATGAGGTTAATCATAGAATTGATGAGGGAAAAAAGGTGAGTGGTGCGTTGAGGTATATGTGGAGTCAAAAAACGTTATCTATGGAGACAAAGAAGGGAATGTATGAAAGTATAGTAGTACCAACACTCTTATATGGATGTGAAGCTTGGGTGGTAAATGCAGCAGCGAGGAGACGGTTGGAGGCAGTGGAGATGTCCTGTCTAAGGGCAATGTGTGGTGTAAATATTATGCAGAAAATTCGGAGTGTGGAAATTAGGAGAAGGTGTGGAGTTAATAAAAGCATTAGTCAGAGGGCAGAAGAGGGGTTGTTGAGGTGGTTTGGTCATTTAAGAGAATGGATCAAAGTAGAATGACATGGAAAGCATATAAATCTATAGGGGAAGGAAAGAGGGGTAGGGGTCGTCCTCGAAAGGTTGGAAAGAGGGGATAAAGGAGGTTTTGTGGGTGAGGGGCTTGGACTTCCAGCAAGCGTGCATGAGCGTGTTAGATAGGAGTGAATGGAGACGAATGATACTTGGGACCTGACGATCTGTTGGAGTGTGAGCAGGGTAATATTTAGTGAAGGGATTCAGGGAAACCGGTTATTTTCATATAGTCGGACTTGAGTCCTGGAAATGGGAAGTACAATGCCTGCACTTTAAAGGAGGGGTTTGGGATATTGGCAGTTTGGAGGGATATGTTGTGTATCTCTATACGTATATGCTTCTAAACTGTTGTATTCTGAGCACCTCTGCAAAAGCAGTGATAATGTGTGAGTGTGGTGAAAGTGTTGAATGATGATGAAAGTATTTTCTTTTTGGGGATTTTCTTTCTTTTTTTGGGTCACCCTGCCTCGGTGGGAGACGACCGACTTGTTGAAAAAAAAAAAAAAAAAAAAAAAAAAAAAAAATATGAATATTTCTTTTGGTTTATATAAATTGGATTCATACTGTGATATCACCTGTTTACTGTGATCTTATTGCCATGCGTGTCGTGAAAGGCGATTAAAATGTCGGGAGTAAGGGGTTAGTAACCCCTTCTCCTGTATACATTACTGATGTTAAAAAGAGAAACTTTTGTTTTTCTTTTTGGGCCACCCTGCCTCGGTGGGATACGGCCGGTTTATATATACATATATATATATATATATAATATATATATATATATATATATATATATATATATATATATATATATATATATATATATATATATATGTTTATAGCCACACACACACACTGTTACCATTTTTTATATGAGCACTGAAGTATAGTACAAGTATTTGTAGTATATATAAACCCACTTCTTATCACAGTTTCAGATATTTTGATTGTAATAATTTGTGACTGCTTTAGTATCACGTTTGTGGAGTGAGTGTGACATGCACATATAACGTACATCACATATAACCACATTACTGGAAGTCATCTTAAGTCAGCATTAAGTCACGTAGATCATTGCTTACCATTTGAGTATTGGGGGACCCACCACTTGTAGTGTAGATTGTTCTGTACTGTTTCAGCGTGAGAGGTTAGATAAACCCAGGTGAAGCTACTTCGGCTGCCTGGTCCTTCAGACGAGCCTCCAGCTGGTTAGCATCTCACCAGAATCTGTCCTCACTGTTAGTGTTTATGGTTGTGGCAGTTAAAGTTCTCATACTTACACTCTCACCCCAATTTTTACACACGTTTTGGTTTATTGGTTCATACCCACTGTACATAGTATAAATACCTGTATATATGTTCTGCTGAGTTTAGCCATGGTTCTCTTTTCTTTTACTGCAGTTTTTCCTCTCCCGGACCTACGATTTAAGCTGACTGGCTTTCCACAAGAAGGGTTTGAGACGTATAATGCCTCAAGAATGGCACTCTGATTATGCAGATTATAATCTTAGACCCAGCAGGGATTATTAAATGCCAGGAAACGGAAAAGAATGCAGTGAAAAATATGGTCTGTCAGAACTGTCTTCATCTTTACTCTATGGACTGCGCTATAAGCTGGTATCTACCATGATCAGTTATTGCAGGACCCTCTAAAGTATTTGTGGTCGTAATAGTGGATACAGTAGTGTTTTTGCTGTTAGTTGGATGATGCCTGTATCTAGACTGTCTAGATTAATATGAAGTTCCATGAGTCTGGGCCTGGGACAAAGTGCATAGGTATGCTTTCAAGAACTTATTACAAAAATTAAGTGGAATTCGGGTTATGTCAGAGATATGGACAAACTTCTGTATCACACTCATAACAAGAATCACGCGGGTTGTCATTTTTCAGTCTGTTTAGGGCTCACCGGACATATGTTTAGCGGCTACACTGAACATGTGTTCTGAATCGTACTTTGTCTTTAATATTTTGCTTATTTCTTTGTTGACATTACTAAAAGTCCATGTCTTCAAACAAAAGTCTTGTATGTGAGATGGTTTTTGCCTTGGATATTGGGTTACTTTAAAAATTTGCTAATGATAGTTTATTGTTACTTTGACATAGGAATTATATGATGCTCTCAGTTTTATCTCAGTGTGTTTTGTTTCGCTAGCAGAATTTTTTATTGTCGAGAGTCTGAGATCTTTAAAAAGTTCTATGATGGAAGCGTCGTTCCTTTTCTTACTTGCAGCTCCTTTTTCTTAATGTATGAGTCTGGAACATGTTCTAGTGCCACGGTGCTCATCCTCTCGAGGTACTGGTTTTAGATTCCTCTTACCCGTGATATCATCCTATCACATTTCATAAACCTCCTAATTTATTACTTCCACGTTAATATGTTTGTCGGTGAAATTTAATTGATTAAAAATACATTAACGACATTATATGTTAGGCTGCTCACTTCTGATATCTAAGCAGGTCTGCGCTTCGATTAGATTGTGGTGCGAGTCTGAAGTGTTCGATGCTTATATTCCGCGTGGACAATTTTGACCTACATTAGAGACAGGATTTTGTTTTATGGTTACCCTAGCTTACTCATGAATGTGTTTATTATTTTTACTTTAGAGTGGTCAGTACAATAGTCGAATATGTTGACGACACATTACTCCCTAAGACATGTATATGATTTTTACGAGCAAACGTTAATCCCGTCATACATTGTCTTGGATAATAGATTTTCCTGAATGTTCATGGTGTGAATTTTTTTTGTTCTTGTTTGTATTGTTTTGTGTGTTGCAGGAACATGAGTAGTTTTGTATTATTTTGTGTGTTGCAGGAACATGAGTAGTTTTGTATTGTTTTGTGTGTTACAGGAACCTGAGGAATCAAGCCAGCTACTGCCCAAGCCTCCTTCAGGACTCATCCTGCAGAAGCAAGTCTCCTCGTCTAGCTCTTCCCTCGATAACCAACCCAAGAAGGACAAAGAGGCAGACAGAGGGAGTGAGAGGAAGAAGAGGGAGAGCAGAAGGAAGGTCGGGGTGACTGAGGAGAAGGATAAACCAAAGAACCAGCCGAGGATCATCTTTCAAGACGCGAAGGTCAAGAAGGAAGAGGAGGAACTACCAGCACCTGGCACGCTTGATGATGCTCATGGCAGGTGAGTGAGTGACAGCAACAGGGAGGTGAGTCAGTAATAGGAGCAGGGAGGTCGGTGAGTAACAGTTGTAGGGAGGTGAGTAACAGTTGCAGGGAGGTGAGCAACAGTTGCAGGGAGGTGAGTAACAGTTGCAGGGAGGTGAGTAACAGTTGCAGGGAGGTAAGTAAGAGTTGCAGGGAGGTAAGTAAGAGTTGCAGGGAGGTAAGTAACAGTTTCAGGGAGGTGAGTAACAGTTGCAGGGAGGTGAGTAACGGTTGCAGGGAGGTGAGTAACAGTTGCAGGGAGGTGAGTAACAGTTACAGGGAGGTGAGTAACAGTTGCAGGGAGGTAAGTGAGAGTTGCAGGGAGGTGAGTAACAAAAAGTAGGAGCAGCGAAGCTCGTGAATAACAGAGAAACAGGACTGAAACGTCATCGTAAGTTTTTCTCTATCCTATTTCAGGTTATTTGTGTATTGCTCCAGTCACTGTATTGTGAGTTTTGTTCTTCACAACTGTACCCCAGAACTATGATGGTACATTATCACAACTGTACCCCAGAACTATGATGGTACATTATCACAACTGTACCCCCGAACTATGATGTACATTATCACAACTGTACCCCAGAACTATGATGGTACATTATCACAACTGTACCCCAGAACTATGATGGTACATTATCACAACTGTACCCCAGAACTATGATGGTACATTATCACAACTGTACCCCAGAACTATGATGGTACATTATCACAACTGTACCCCAGAACTATGATGGTTACATTATCACAACTGTACCCCAGAACTATGATGGTACATTATCACAACTGTACCCCAGAACTATGATGGTACATTATCACAACTGTACCCCAGAACTATGATGGTACATTAATCACAACTGTACCCCAGAACTATTGATGGTACATTATCACAACTGTACCCCAGAACTATGATGGACATTATCACAACTGTACCCCAGAACTATGATGGTACATTATCACAACTGTACCCCAGAACTATGATGGTACATTATCACAACTGTACCCCAGAACTATGATGGTACATTATCACAACTGTACCCCAGAACTATGATGGTACATTATCACAACTGTACCCCAGAACAAGGATTTTTTTATTTTTGCCCTCTTAGTGGAGTCTAGCCTATCGAACACGGTCCCCCGAACACGGTCTCCCGAACACAGTCCACATAGCCCGGTCCAATAACACGTCCCATGAACACGATTCATAAACAACTGGTCCCATGAACACGATCACCATGAACTCAGTACCCTATGAACACGGCCCACTGAGCATAGGTCCCACACTACGTCCCAGACACGGTATGAATACGGTCCCATGACTACGGTCCTATGAACACGTACCCATAAACTACGGTCCACAAACACGTCCACAAACCGTCCCCCGAGAACACGGTCCACATAACACACGGTCCAACATGAAGACGATCCCACACACAGTCCCACAAACACGGTCCCACAAATCACAACTGTACCCCATGAACACGATCCATGTAACATATCCCACGAACCGGTCCCACAAACACGGTCCACAACTACGATCCCACAAACACGTCCCATGAACAGTCCCATGACACAACTGTACCCATGAACACGTTCTCCTATGAACACGGTCCTATGAACAGACCATGAACACGTCTCATGAACACGTCTCAGAACACGGTCCCATAACACGGTCCCATGAACACGGTCCCATGAACACGGTCCCATGAACACGATCCCATGAACACGGTCCCATGAACACGGTCCCATGAACACGATCCCATGAACACGGTCCCATGAACATGATCCCATGAACACGATCCCATGAACACGGTCCCATGAACACGGTCCCATGAACACGGTCCCACAAACACAGTCCCACAAACACGGTCCCACAAACACGATCCCATGAACACGATCCCATGAACACGATCCCACGAACACGATCCCACAAACACGGTCCCACAAACACGGTCCCACAAACACGGTCCCATGAACACGGTCCCATGAACACGGTCCCATGAACACGAGTTCCCACATGAACACGGTCCCATGAAACACGGATCCCATGAACACGGTCCATGAACACGGTCCATGAACACGTCCCATAACACGGTCCCATGAACACGGTCCCATGAACACGGTCCCATGAACACGGTCCCATGAACACGGTCCCATGAACACGGTCCCATGAACACGGTCCCATGAACACGATCCCATGAACACGGTCCCATGAACATGATCCCATGAACACGATCCCATGAACACGATCCCATGAACACGGTCTCATGAACACGGTCCCATAAACACGGTCCCATGAACACGGTCCTATGAACACGGTCCCATGAACACGATCCCATGAACACGGTACCATGAACATGATCCCATGATCACGATCCCATGAACACGGTACCATGAACACGATCCCATGAACACGATCCCATGAACACGATCCCATGAACACGATCCCATGAACACGGTCCCATGAACACGGTCTCATGAACACGGTCCCATGAATACGGTCCCATGAACACGGTCCCATGAACACGGTCCCATGAACACGGTCCCATGAGCACGGTCTCATGAACACGGTCCCATGAACACGGTCCCATGAACACGGTCCCATGAACACGGTCCCATGAACACGGTCCCATGAACAAGGCCTACGTCTAGAACCTAATCGTTGCGTTAGTTATTATTATTATTAAAGATTCGCGGGTATTCTCCCGGCCCGGGCCTTTTCCAAGTGGTGGCCCGGCCTTGGCTCCCTCTTTAGGGAGTGTCTGAGACCTAAGTCTCCCATGGGAGGAGGCACAAGTACCTCCTCATCTTTGGGACCAACTGTCCCCAGGCCTAGCCACAAGCTAGGCCTCTCTGGTCTGCCATCCCCGTCCCAAGGGGGCAAATGGGAATGACAGTCTTATGAGCTAAAGGCTCGGGCTCAGGCACCTACTCTACCCTAGAAGGGTTAGGCATGGTGTCGATCGTTGCGTTAGTTTTAAACCACGTGTGTGCGCACGCAATCACACACACACACACACACACACACACACACACGTGTATGTTATTTAAAGGGTCACTATTATGACTTAAATATGCATTTTATAATTGTGGATAATATTTGAAAGGTTTATAGTTTTGAAAATTGTTATTGTTAGAAAGAAAAACAGAGAACATTAAGTCGCGGGTGAATGTTCCCACAGAACATCAGGTTTGATGCAAGGAAGGGGAGGGTTGCTCCAGTTGCTTGAATCAAGAGCCCTTTACCGGCATCAAGACCCTTTTGAAGGGAACATAGTAGACAGCCTGATGAATTTACGACACAGCTGTGTGTGTGTGTGGTGTGTGTGTGTGTATGTGTGCTATTTGTGTGTGCATGTGTGTGTGTGTGTGTGCATGTGTGTGTGTGTGTGTGTGTGCTGTGCGTTGTGTTTGTGTGTGTTGGGGGGAGGGGGGGACGTTATCATCATACGTTGTGATCATACATGTACCTAGGATGGTTTACCTTCTATTCTCCATCCCACAGTGTGAGTTTCCAGTCATACACCGTCATACAGGATGTTTTCTTCGTCATACTTCATGCAGTATGATGGTTTTCCTGGCATTCTTTATCACACAGGATGGGTCCCATACACTGGGTAAAATCTGTCACCATGAATTGGGAGACTTCAGCAGAGTGACGAGGATCTGGTCAAGCAGTCCACTGTAGGTTCAGTAGGCATGATAACCTGCAAGTTATCGTCCTAAAAGAGCTGGAGTTATTTGTACGTGGGAATTTTCTTCTCTCGAGATAATTAAAATGAAATTCATGAGAATAGACATAATATTGGTCAAGGACGGACCGAAACTCACGCGTTTCGGTCCGTCCTGGACCAGTATTAAGGTTCAAGGGAAACCGACTCATCCGTAGAGTCCTCTTTTATAAAGTGTGGGTTAGTAGTGAATTATTCCAGACCACGGTATTGACTTGTTCTGCACAGCGGGGGAGACGATCGCATTAAGGAGGGTGGGAGGTAGATAATTTTTGTGTAAAGAATGTGGAGCAAAAGAGAACATCATCGGTAAGAGATAAAGAGATAAAGCAAGATAGCAATGACGGAATGTATGACCGCCTGAGCTCTACTTACCTCCCGCGACCAGTGACTATCTGGGCCTCGCGCGATCTGTCAGCAGTGACTGGTGCGTTCTGTCACCGGTGATTGGTGCGTTCTGTCAGTATTAACTGGTGTCTTATCTTCGGCATTGATCTCTTTGATAAGTGTATCACCAATTTGAGTTCTGATCCCCAGGCTCCACATATACGCGTTTACCCCAGCAGTCATTGTGCCAGATAATTCCTGGTTCAAGAGACAGGTTAATAATACTCGTGTCTCGTCTGGGGAGACAGGAAGATGTCATCCGCCAAGGAAGCTTCATCCAGGACTGACAAGGCAATCCCTCCTCCAGAGGAGGCTCTGAAAAAGGAAGGTGTGAAAAAGGAGAGGATAAAGCAAGAGGAAGGCTTGAAGAAGAAGGATGTGAAGATGAACAACGTTAAGGAGGAGGACTTTAAGAAAGAGGAGGTTAAAACTATGGGTATGAAGGAAGTAGACAACGCGAAGGAAGAGATTATGAAGAAGAAAAAGAACTTCACTCTTGCTCTGGGGAGTGTGGGAAGTGGCGAGGACCCCAGCAGCGAGATTCATGTAGGAGGCGGGGAGGACAGGAAGGGCTTCAGGAGCCTAGAGAAAATATCTACCACAGTTGACGTCACAGAGTAAGAGGCCACGTGTTTCTAGTGTTACTAAATTATGTTATTTTCAGGGCTGCCAAACAGCGCCTGGGTGATGAGAGGTAATCAATAGTCTGAGTCAAGAAGGTGGCTCCAAATTCCTTGAACGAAGAGCTCTTCACTGGCATAGATAGGGCTACCCCTAGTTGAAGGGTAGAAATTTCTGTATCACGATTAGCTGACGGAGGATCAAGCCTACACCACGCCTTTCTCTGAATAACCCAGTCATG